GTAATTGTGCGACAACATGAAGTTGGAAGATATATTTTCTTAAAGTTGCATTAGCTGGGTTTTAAACCCTGATCTCCCACATGAAAGTCCATGACATAGACCGTTAGACCAATGGAGCTGTGGGAAAATGTGGTGGCAGGGGTTGGTTTGTATGTGTGCAGAAAGAGGCCACATTGCCAATACAATTATTGACGCAAAAATGCACAATATTACAACAATAGAAAAGTATTAAGACAATATTATAGTAAAACGTCGAAATACAATGATATTAGTATTGTAAACACTGAACTATTGAGTTTAAATACTACTGCGTGCTCAGACCCGGTCGGCTCTGCAGTGTTTGGGACCGACAGACACCTCTAACAGTAATCTAGTGCTCAAGCAGCACAGAACCACCAAAATATTCTGCACAATAAATCAGGCCAAAGTAGTCTGGGACCCGTCATCAAAAGGACCACTTAAACACACGTGAACAGCTGGAACATCTGCTGTATAGTTCTAATTCTGACCTTTTAGGACTCACAGAGACGTGGTTAACCCATCCATCACCTGATGCTGTAGTAAATATGCCTGAGTATAATGTATTTAGAAAGGACAGAAATAATGGGAGGGGTGGGGGAGTAAATATGTTTGTCCAGTTTGTTTTTAATATTACTGTCGGATGTCAGTGTTCAGGCACTGAAATGTAAAAATGGATCAAAATGAAACACAGGCACGCTAGTGGTGCTATGAGTCAGCAGTGTAAACTGATTCAGCAGTGTAAACTGAGTCAGCAGTGTAAACTGATTCAGCAGTGTAACCTGAGTCAGCAGTGTAAACTGATTCAGCATTGTAAACTAATTCAGCAGTGTAAACTGAGTCAGCAGTGTGAACTGAGTCAGCAGTGTAAACTGAGTCAGCAGTGTAAACTGATTCAGCAGTGTAAACTGAGTCAGCAGTGTAAACTGAGTCAGCAGTGTAAACTGAGTCAGCAGTGTAAACTAATTAAGCAGTGCAAACTGAGTCAGCAGTG